CTAATAGAAATTTGTTTCTAAATGCTAGACTACCAATTTACATACGTATTTTATCACAGACGCCGAAATATTCATTTTTTTAATTTCCTTATGTGTGTTTCATGAGTTCACATTCACTGGCGCTAGATGACGCCACGTGTACCATTTCGTAAAAATCGAATATAATTTTATTGATGAATAAATCACTTTTCTGAAACGTAAAATGTGCAGTAAAACAACTTCAATCATGTTAGTGAAGGAGGTATTTCGTCAGTAGGTGGCATTTTTGAAAACCGCGGCAAATACTGTTTTTAATATTAGAATACTATAATGATCGAAGAGGTATCACTACTTTGCGCGCGAAATTCAAACGTTACGTGTTGCGGTACACGATTTTCTCTCCGCAAAGTTATCGTGAAAGAATAGGAAGAAGAAATTACAAATAATTTATACAAATGCGTAGTTTATTTGTATCCAAAAATAAATATAAGTAACTGTTTAATAATAAACGTAGTTCATATATTACACATGTGAAGTAAGAAAGTTTCGTGATAGTTCTTTATTGTCCAAAGGAGTATAATATCTTCGCAAACGATTTTGAATCATTGTTTTCTCCATCTGAAAACATCTAATTATCGCAATATGTATTAACGCACTATGTAAATCGAATGTCTGCGTCTGCGCTCGCATCTTACAATATGTTCTCTTCCAGTTAAACCCTGCCATCGTCTTAGTCGTTCATCCAACGAAAGGAGAGGATCAAGTTCAATTTTCTTATTAGTATTGCCAGACTTTCAGTGGACGTTTGTGTTCCTATCGGTTCTTAAAAATTAAACGGTCAAAAATATCTTACATCGATGGCATACACTTAATAAAACACCTATTTCTTTTCAATTTTAACATTCTTCTGTGATAAATAAAGTCGGTGAAAATGCGGACGTTTAGCTCCTTCCTTCTGTGAGTACTTTTCTTTGCTATTTTCATAACAATATCAAATTACTATGATTCAATATAATTTACACGTAATCGCTAATAGTACAAATATATTACGTATAATTCACAACTGCAAACAAATACAGAATCACGATTGATCATCGTGAAACAATCAAAGAAAAGTTTAGGTAACGATTAGATAAAGTAGCATAAGATCGTTAATATTTGCATAAGCTATAAAATTATAGCGCTACGTGCTTCCGTGTTTGATGAACTTCTAATGATTAGATAACAAAGATTTTAAATCTGCATTCTATACAATAATTCTAAATTCACATGGCCAAACATGATATACATTTACTATCAGACATTTGCAACATAGAATGTAACACGTTTCTTTTCAAACTTGATAATTGTTACTCAAAAGAAAAAAAGATGATAATTGTTAAGCAGGATAACAACATTTTCATTCGTTAATGTGCAATGTTCGTCGAGGAGTGAAGAAAACTGCGATTTCCGTCAGGTGAAGTCAAACACGACCGAATGCGATTTTAAAGAACACGATCACCATCTCGTTTGCTTTCACGGTCTCGAGGATAAATGGAAATTCGGGTGATTATCACCAACGTTTCGTTACTCACTAATAAACGTTTAAATAGTAATACGTAATTATTTTAGAGGCGAGAACGTGCATTCGCTGTTGCTCTGCGATTGGCCCGAAGAGACGTTCGATCCTCAGGATAATCTTCAAGGATTTATCTCGTTGAAGAAGCTGACAATCTCCAGAAGCAACTTGGTTAAACTGACATCTCCATTTCCAGCGGAGATTCATCTGGTAGAAGTACGGAAACTTGAGAGCTGAAAAAATTTGACATTATAGTGCTAATTAGAGTTATAACATAGATAAAAAAAATTTTACAAATATCAAAAGTAAGATATTGTTTAGAAGCTGAACATAACCGGGACCAAGCTACAGGATCTTCCGCACAACGCGTTCAACAATCTCTCACACTTGAAGATCCTTGATCTACGAAACAATAGCATCACAGAAATTAATGTTACAACTTTCAATATTCCGTCGTTGCATCATATCTACCTTTCAGGTGAGACATTTCTTTCGGTTTACTCATCGCAATTTTAGTACTGCACTCAAGCTAATGCTAATTTACACAGCTAATCCGTTGAAATGTACCGACAATGCAAAATGGATATTGGACCAAGGAAAAGGTTCCTTAGGTCGCAAGATTTCGGACAAGAACAATCTACGTTGCAGCAAACCGTACGAAGGCAGGCCGCTCATTCCAGTAATAGAAATAATCAAAGTAATAGCATATTGTTGCAGTTTTATTTTGGCAAAATTGTTCAAGTTTCTGAGTGCATGAATTTACTGTTTCAGGCGCTGAAGGAAGAGTGTGCGAAGACGGTATGCGAATGTAAATTGGTGTACGTAGTTGGTGACGGAGGAAAGCACATCCAAAAGCAGCTGATGGCGTTTGCTTCTGTAAACTGTAGTCATCGTGGACTGACAGAGATGCCTAGCTTCTTGCCAGCGAACACGACCACTCTTCATTTGTCTGGAAACAAGGTTGCAATGCTGTAACTATTATTATAATACACTAAGCTTAAAGTTTTTGGTTTTTAGATAAATGACCTGAGGCCACTTACGACGAATCCAGCGTATAGGGGAGTAATAGATCTGTACATAGATAATAATCTGATAGAATCCATTGTCCAGTTGGAAGGATCTAGTTGGATGGATGGTTTCAGGTTGCTTAGTCTTCGTGGAAACAGGCTAACCGATGTTCGTATCATGTTATCCGTGATTTAAAATATTTTACTGGAACAGAAATGTTGCAATAACGATTACATACGGAATATTTAACGAATGTTGTTTCGAGAGCATTTGCATTCGGTTACACTTGTCGGATTTAGCTGGTTAATTACAGTTTAAGGGATTAAGAATCGACTAGTTTCAGTTGCCGACTGTTTCAGTTGCCTACGTACGCCTTGGAGAACGTATTACAACACAATGGAAATGCAGTAAGCTTGTATCTTGGGAACAATCCATGGAGGTGTGATTGCCTATTCACGCCTGGCTTTCAGGTAGAATTGTAGCCTAATCAAATATATGTAACAGTGGAATATCTTCACTCAATGACTTTTTAGGATCTACTGATCAGATACACGACCTTAGTGAAAGACATCAACGATATCAAATGCTCTCGTCTAAACGGGAACGAGCATTTCGGCAAAATTGTAAGCAACAATACCCTTAATTAATATCATGTATCTTCATATTATAATTTTCGTTTAGATACGAGATCTAAAACGCACGGAAATTTGCATCGCACCCGATGAAGAGTATTTGCTGCATCCTATAGACATCCTGAACATTATACTAGCGTTGCTGATATTCCTGATCATTGTTAAAGTACTCTACGACTACTGGTCATTCAGAAAAACCGGCAAGTTGCCATGGATCGTCACTAAAATACCCTAGAATACCATGCTCCCCAGTGTACTAAGTTGCAGGGTTAAGAGGAGCTTATAAGGCGACAAGAAGGTTTACCTTCGACGCTGCCTTCGTGTCTTGACAATACTGATGGTACAAGTCGTCAGCGGCTGCTCTCTTGGCAACGCACTCCCTGACACCGCGACCTACAGTTATTAAAAAGTGTACATAATACAATAAACATTTATTCTTGTATAAAAAATAGAAGGCAGAGTTGCTCCATATACCTTCTCCAATGTAGCCCAATGCAGTACACGTAGCTATACAGGATAAACCTTCACAAGTTTCTCTCTTATCCACACAGTATTTAGGAAGCTCCTGTCCTCTTTCAAGGCACAGTTGGTACAACTTCCTTTGAGCTGTTTCCCTTGGACTGTCCATACCCAGATTAATTACCTCCATCATTCTGTAAAACAAATTATATGGATTGTGTTTTAAAAAGTATATAATTAGTGTATTGCTTACTCTTCTTTTGATAGCTTTGCAAGGGTGATGAGCTTCTCATCCTTCATCTGACGATTGGCTATCATTTGTAGAATTTTCGAGGCTAGATCATTCTTCGTGGATTCTTCTGTTTGTCCTCGAGAAGTGGCGGTAAATCCACCGAGAGATCCACGTATTACAAACACGTTCGATTTATGACGATGGGGTCCGTCAGTTATGAATTCATACGTAATTGGAACTCCGCATCGTTTCGAGTATGCCTCGAGGATATTTAGCGGCGTTCGTTGATTCGAAGTGCCCTCGTCACCGCTCCCCTTTAATTAAAATTTAATAAGCCCCAATTCATTTAGAATCCGAGCATGGGTTCTAAGCTCCTCGTCATAATACATAAAGACAACTGTACAGTTGTATTCATTTTCGTAGTGGCGTTCACGGACTTCTCTCTTGATTCTTCTGTTTTCCTACTCAGCTCAGAATCAACTAAAACAACCGAACCTTCGACATCTGCGTATTTCTCTTGACGATGGAGAATAATGCAAGAGCTTTGACGATCTAAAAAATATTAAATAATTAAATCCATGCCACCAGATTAATTAAACGTAATACAAACATTACCATCTTCAGTTTTGATTTCATCAACGCGCTTCTTCTCGACGACAGTTGTTTCTTTACGTATTTGTTCTTTGCCTAAAATAATTAACTTGGTAAAATAAAGATAGATGTTTTTGAAATATGTTTGTACCTAAGATCGATCCTCGTAAAGCATTGTCCACTGCTTTACCCCATTCCTCTAAACTGCGTGCATGCTTTGTCATCTGATCGGTGTCTAAACAGAAATATGATACACCGTATAATACGCGGCAATATAACACAAGGTTAGTGTACTGTAAAGATGCTTCTGTACGAAATATTCATTTGTTCAAGTCTTTAAGCAGTTCAGTTCACGTTTACAATGAGAGAAAATATGTTTGTCAGTGTCAAATTCGATAAAATGTCACAGACCAGTTTCAACTTTTGTAGGAGATTCTACAACGGGAAACTTTTCTTCAGTGGGATGGAATATCATCAACGAATCACTTGACTGAGTTCTGGTATCCTGTTCCTTAAAATCAGAACGTTGACCGTTTACGTTGACGTCCTCTTCGCACATAGTGCTCTGAGAAACCTGTATCTCTGCTACGTTTTTTCCAGCATTGTTTTCTTCCGCGGTCTACGAGAGTCACGCGATCAATTCTGACCATAAAATAAAAAGTTATTTATATTTACATCGATGTCAGTGAAAATCGATTCCCTAGCCGAGATCATCACGGTCGAATCTTCCGAGTCTGGAGAGCAGAACGAGGTTGACGTTTCTGGAAATGATCAAAACTTTTTTCGTGACGATCTTTGAAAATTCCCAAATCGAAAACTTACCAATTTCGCGACAAGGTGTTCGCAGTTGCTGAAGAAGATCCTCTGCGCGATCTATAACTGCCTCCATCTCGCAAAGAAGCGGTGCAGCGTTTGGAAACCTATCGATTATCATACTCCATACGAATTCTGCATCCTCTGTTCCTTGCAATGATTTCGGAAGTTCGTGCTTCTGACACGTAGAGTCCCGACGTTCTGACATAGCGTGCGTTTTATTTTAGCCTGTCCAACGAGCATATCAACATTCGCAAACTTTTAAGATATTTGGCCAAATTGACAGAACGAAAAAAAAAAAACAGTCTAACAATCTTCATTTAGCTTTAACGCACGTGCATTATTCTAATACTATTATAAAAAAATAAAGGGCAGGTTCCAATGATTAAAAACAGTAATATATATCATTGTGATAAACTACTTTTATTTCACTTTCTAACACATTCTTTACAAATTGGATAAACAAAATAAAACTCATTCGTAGGCTTGGCATGTATTTTTTATTGATAATAAGATACCTCTTACCGCTAATTTAATACACATCACATACTTCCTTATTTTGTAACGTGAATGTTAGGAATATATACAAAAAGCCATTACAGGGAATTCCTTGATATTTCACGGCGTTACATCGAAAAACGTGTAGAGTCCGTTGAAGGTACTTATGAAGACGTCTTATTTTCCTAAATGCGATGTGGTGTTCAAAAATGACATGTACAATTAAAATTAAAAAATGAAACCAATGTGCAAATTGGTTTAGTTAAGTATGTAACCATGTACAATTGTTATACTTAAGCCGATAATTAATTACATTTTTTTTTCGATTTATGTATCCATTAGGATTTACAAATTTTGCTTATTCTTAAGACGATGTACATGTTAATTACAATGTCACAAAAAAATCGAGATTTTATAACAAAGGCATGATGAAATTGGCTTCTTGAATGTATTTAACTTGTAAAAAAAAAGAAAACTCCTTTCTTCTTCTTCTTCCATTCTTCCTCCTCTTCTGTCAACTTCACTCCGTAGTCCTTTTTTCTTATTTGTTCGTTTGCTTAATCAACTTTCTGTTTATTACTTTCTGGCGATTTGTCCCCGTTCATTGGTGAACGAGAACGGCTACGGCTTTTACTATGTTTGCTTCCTGATCGGGACCTCGATCTGTCTCCCCTCGATCTTTCGCGACTAGATCTATCTCTGGAAGAAGAACTGGATTAAATAGACGGTTATGGATTTGCTGTTCTTGCGCTAATTATATAGATTAAACTCACTTTGAGGGAGACTTGGCTTTGGATTTGGACTGCGACCTGGACTTTGACCTCTCAGCCTTGGACCTAGAACGAGATCTGGATTTGGACTTTGACTTAGATTTCGACTTTGAGCGGTCTCTTGATCTGTAAAATTATAGTTCAAATGAAGAAAATGCAGGAGATACAAGTAAAAAATACAGAACATGATGATGTTCAGTGTAAAACAATGAATAAGCGGTGAGAGGTAGTTGTAAATATAAAACCAGCCCAAACACAATGCCAACGCAGTGGGAGGTGAATGTGCGACGTTACAACAATGTTCGATTACACAAATAATTGCGCAAGAAACAAAGCAAATAAACGCTAGTAATAAATTATACGACTGGAAACCAACTAATATTTTTAATCTTGTGATAGGAATACTCACTTGGATTTGGAACGGGAACGGCTACGTTCAGGGGATTTGGATTTAGATTTTGATTTAGATTTAGAGTGTGCCCTTGATTTAGAACGGCTGCTACGACGACTTCGGCTGCGAGAGCTGCGGCGACTCCTAAAGTAAAAAAGAGAAAAATATGATTTAAAATAATTTTAACTTCAACAAAGTCTTGCTATATGGTTTATCTAGGGCTATATAGCAAGACTGTTCTAATTTACTCTTATATGAATCTCACTATAAAGTGAAGTGTGTGACTAGGGAACCTGGTAGTGCATAACTTTTGGGATGCCTATGTAAAAATGTTATTTCTTGCTTTTAAAACTAGTTCCTCAATATAAAATGCTTTGTAAGTCAAAGGAACTAACATCTTTCAACGTTTTGTGTTGCATTAGGTATACCACCTTATATTTTTAATATGGCCCCCAATAGTTATACGATACCTATAATACTAGAAATAATAACACGATGTGTATGGTGTTAGGTATAACTGCAAAAGATGTATGGATTAAAATTAAACATATAAATGTGATCAGGAATAAAATAAAAATGATGGAGCTATTGTCGCCCCCCGATAGTACCTTGATCGGGTTCGAGAACGACGATTATACCTTGAGCGGGAGCGTGATCGACGGCGAGATCGAGATCGTGACCGTGACCTTGATCTCGAACTCGATGTCCTTGAGCGACGACCACGTCTTTTGTCTTCGATTAGTCTGATTCTTCTTCCATTTAGTTCTGTGTCGTCCAATTTGTCAATGGCGTTCTTCAAGTCAGAGTAGGTTGCGAATTCTACAACTCTGTAACAATAATTTACAATGTAATTTAAATACAGTAATATATTAAATAAAATTTTTTAGCAAATATATCTTACCCTTCGTTCCTGCGTTGTTTGTGTGCATCTGCATATGTCACTTCTCCAGCATGTCTCATATAATCCTTCAAATCCTGAGCATCACACAAGAAGACGAATTAATATATTATAGTGATACAAAGATTAATCTTATGATTAATCATACGTGGTATATGATTAATATTCACGTATGAATATATAATACTAAACTGTGTTCCTATACTAAAATAGATTACGCAGAGGTTAAAATGTACCCTGTGCACTTTTTATCCACTATAATTCCTACTTATAAATCCTTCCACCTCCCAAAGTATATGGAAAAAATCTATCCTTACTGAAAAAGCCAAGTAATGTCCTGTCTGTCCATTTCTTCGGTGTTGAATATATGTTGAAAACATGTGCTCGAATTTAGTATCTGTGATTGATGCAACCTTTCTTTTTATGCAATTCAATCTTTAAAACAAGCAGCAGTATATAATAGTTGCAATAGAAATCTCCACCCTGCAGAAAATAGTATGCCCCTTTCTATTCGTCTAAGAAAAATTGTTTCAACTAGGTAGATCATACAATTTCTGCAGAGCAGCTCACAATATAATTTCCATAAATTATAATTACAATAAACTTCTAAAGACTGGTCAAAGACACAAACAAAATCAACTTAACGATTCTATCAAAAAATATATGGACCGTTGAAAAGATGGAACTGCATAAGGCAGACAAAAAAGACAAGTTGCTCATGAAATCGAACGAACAATGAAACGATGATCGATGCTGTAACGTGCTGAAAAAAACTTATGTTTAAAATGCCTTTCGCTACTTGAAAGATGACAAAATTAAACATAAAATCAGGTATAGGAACGATCCCTGTAACAGTCGGAAATGGAATTCGAAAACTCTGAGGAGATCAAACCGATGCAGAAAATAATAAATGCTTTCGTGAATTTCTTCCAAACTGACGCAGAAATCCATTCGCATGAAACACAGCCTTACAATATCATGTTCTTATTTTTCTCGCCGATTTTCTCATCCCTTTCTGGAAAATTCCTCTTGATGTGTTTTCCTTTCTTTATATCCTCTATGAATCAGTGGTTGTTCTTCCTTATATTCTTCTTAATCTTATCCGTTTATTATCTCTATTTGGTGTCCATCGTATATAAAACTTGTTCTTGTATTTGTGGGAACCAGGTACGGCTTTATGTTGTGGACTCTCTTGTCAAGTGCGTGCGTGTATACCAGAATAGATAAATCTGTATCTTGATGTTTCTTCTCATCGTCCATCAGTTTATCAAAAAAAAGTGGTCGGGCGTTCGAATATTCCAACGCAATTCATACTCATAATCCAGTGTTATGCGAGCGAAGAATCAACACCGTAACTGCAACGACGTTCAAGTTACTGAAATGTTCATACGCTTGAACAGAGAAAAAAATGTTGAATCTGACAGGACGTAATTGCCTTGCATAAAGAAAAGTTGATTTCCTTATCTTACGTTTGAAACGAGTGCATGTATATCGTTAAGAAAAATCCGTTTGTAAATTATAAAAGCAAATTAAAAAGGTACGAAAGAATTTTCATGATCCGATGCCTAATTTCGAGCACACTTCATGTGTATATATATATACATATATTTATATACGTACGTAGATACATATATACATATACATATATATATACATATTAGATAAATTGTTAAACTGGTCCCCTGTCTCTGGAACTGGTATCTTTTTCATTTGCGTGTGCACGGCTCCAAGATCTATATTATATATATGATATATAATACGAAACACCTGAACTACGATGGTGCACAGTTAAAAATTAGATACAACATATTAAAAAAGATAACAATATAAATGAGAGAACAAGTTACAAGTGTGTAAGTGTATATAAGATATATAATAGATATAATGTATATATCTAAAGAGTACACTCGGTTAAGGTGACGCATTTACCTTGGGCCCAGGCACCACCTTGCTTACGGACAGAGAGAAAGGCCAGACACAACGGCGCTTGGTCGGGTCGAACGGATCTGTGTGGCGTAGTCGCGGATGGTTCGGGTTTCGGCCCGTGTATGCCCTCATGGGTGGCCGCTGCCTGACTTACTAGATGGCTAGGTTGGTGGCGTACCAGTAGCAGTAACAGTCGGTGGTGTAGTAATAAATGTGATAGTAGTAGTAGCAGAGAAGTTAGACGATGAGATAGGCAGTCATAATGATGGAGATGATAAAAGAGAGAGGGAGAATAAAAGTTGAATAATAAAATGTAAAGAGAATGAGGAGGATAGAAGATGATACTTGATAAAGGATATTAAAAGAGAACGTTCAGAGCGGAGAGGAAAAGAGTAATGATTGTTGTTGTTGTAACACATCCAGGCATAGATACAGGTCAGAGTCATTGATGATCGTAGAGGCACAGACGACGTTCTTTCTCTCCCGGCGATCATGATGAGAAGATCGCAGATACGGTAAGAACCTATCTCGTCATCGGATTTTCACCACGTAATCACTGCGTAAGTAGTAGAAGGTGGTAGGTGGTAGGTGTACCCAGTGCCACGCGGCTATCTCTCTCACCCGGGACACCTCAGAAACCAACCTGGTGCCACTTGACCTCAAGGCGGGCCCATCGCGTGCATCGTCATCTTTATCATCGCACATCATCAGTCTATTGGCCCTACCGGTCACCCCTCCTCGGCGAAGAGGACATGGCTCTTCGGAAAGAACATCAATTTTATTGTTTTTCTCAACTGTTGGCCGAACGTAAATGAAATAATAAATTGAAAAAGGAACGTCGAACAATCGAGAGAATCGGACTGAGCGAGAGAAATTCGTTTTTCATCAAAAGACAACCAATCATCCGAAAAGTACGATAGACGATTTATCATTTATATCAATGTATATTGATCAAGTAAGACTTGGTCCACATGCACACGAATGAGCTCTTTAACAGAAATATCTGTTTGCTTCTTTTTTTTGAATTCGTTGGAATGGACATGACTGTTCTGACTGGAAAGATGAAGTGCGTCCTGGTTATTTCCCACATCGTTCTTGCATTTCCCAAGTTGTCCCAAGATTGCCCTTCTTGTATCTCTGTTTCTCTTCTCCATTGTTCGTTCCTTGACATCTTCTATTCGTACCACTTCTTCCACAAAGCACGTACGTAAGCAGCACGCTCAGATTTCCTCGATGTCTCGTTACGATGAACGCCGAAATTAACGTGTCTCTTTTACATTCGTATTTCAGGATTATATTTTCTGTAATGTCTTTCTTCCGTTTCGCATCTTTCGTCTGTTACTTTTCCTCCGCTCGTGTATCGTTTTGGCTCGTGTTCTTTTTTGGACTCTTCATCGAGCGGAAATTGTATCATTCAGAATAAAAATTTGGTTTTAGATGCCCATAGACTTACTTGATCAAAATGTACATCTTTTTTTTGTAACTCGGATTTGGAGTTTGAATAAGAGTAAACGAACTTAAAAATGATGAAAGAAAAATCGAATAAAAATATTAATGCTGCTAATGCCGCGTGTAAGTTTGGTTCAACTCGGGGATGCGAAATTGCAGAATCGCCAGCGAGAGAATATATATATAATGTATATATATTATTTGGTACCGGTGCATTTTTCGGTGTACTCGCATTGTTTTCTGGAACCTCGAGTAGTAATCAAACTCACGGAAAAGCTATCAGACATAAGAGCGAAACAAGGTACAGATATTGCTTACCTGCCAGCTGACACGACTCGACAGATTTTCCACGATAAGGCGATACTCGGTGCGTGTTGGTGGTCCGTATCTACAAAAGGAAAAACATCGATATTATTGTTTTTGCATGATTTCAATAAAAGCAGGTTTGTCTTGGACCTGACTTTACATATTTATAATAGCGAATATTCTAAATGGAAAACGTAATAGACTGATTTTAACTTTTTTAAAATTCAAGATTGTAATATTTAAATACTGAATAATATTATAAAGATGTATCGTTAGAGCGTAACATTGGATGTATGTACCTGGGCAATGATTGCTTGTAGCTAGATGCAGTCCTCGTGTTTCTGTTCACACTATCTCTGCAAAAAGGGATGTCATGTGAACAGAAATAACGGATCGATGGTTAAACCTTCAGCAAATAACTACAGATCTGCACTCATTGCTCAGGCACACAATCAATCACCTGTTCCAATCGAATCAAATCTACTCAAAATGCAGCAATAGCGTACCTGTCGTGCCGCATATCGTCTCGGCTGTAACAAACACAATACCACACATCTATTAGTCGCCAATTACATTCGGATCACCTCTTCTCAACTACCAGTAATAAAAAATAACGTCTGGGAGGGTAGTAATTCACTAGGCATTACATATTATTCCTATGTTAGACTAGCCTTTCAACAAATTTCGAATTCCATTCATTCGACTTACTCCTGGGAGCAGTCAAATCCAAGACAACCAATTCAAACTAGTTAGAAATTGGCGGTGCCTAGATGAAATTTTTTCTCATATACAAAAATTATGCCAAATTGTACAATGCACGCGCACTCTCTCTCTCTCTCTTTATATGTATTTTAGAGCTTATCATATCCAAGGTTACGTTCTTCCCTCTGCGGGTGATATGCAAAATCATTCAAATACGCTTAAACAAAAAACCAAAATAAATTATTTAAATTATCTTAGAATGCTTATGAAAGATTCAACTTAACCTTTAGAGTACGGAGTCCATATTTCAAACTATGATTTCAATATTTTAATACTATATAACTGAGGTTCCAATATGTGGATGAATATAGGAGAATGTGGAAGTATAGGATTTAGATAATTTGGAAGACTGAAAGTGGAAACCTCTGCTATATAGAATTATATCTTAGAACATTTATATTTAGAAAAATTGTGAAGTTAATGGGAAGTCCATACTGTAAAGGTTAATTGAAAATGATAATAGATTTTGCATATCTCAAATAGAATTTCTTCAGGGGAGGAGGAGATAATGATCGCTCTGATAAAATAAAAAAAAGGATAGCGTGTCTTACGCAGATCGCCTCGAGTCCCCATAACCACCACGGGAGTCACCATAGCGCCACTGGTCACTACCCCTAGGTGTCCCCCGGGCCCTCTCTACAGTAATTCTGTAACAAGACACATTGGATATGCTTACTTGTCTCTCCAGGAGCGTGAGCGTCCGTAGCCACGGTCGCCTCGCCTCCCTGAAACACCCCGTGCTATCTCCACCGCCACTCTGAAACACACCCAACAAAACCCCGCCTAAGTCCTCGACTAACTCTTACTCTAAAGCGGCTTCCTTCCATCCTTCTTTCCTTTTCTTTTCCATTCCTCAGCCTCCTCTCGAAATCCGTTCAAATATCATCATCCGCCTGTCTCTCGTCTTATCTACAAGTCCAGTCATTGAGGCGCTGTCCCCTCATCATCATCGTTAGTCTTCATCCCCTCTCTTTATACTTTTTTTTTTATAGTTGTCCGCTTAACGCGTTACATATTTCATCAATCTATGTACAGTCTTAATAAAACTTGTAAGCTTTCCTATAATTAACTACTGTACTCTTATATTTCTTTCATTTTTATCAAGTATTTTAAGAATCAAATTAATAAATAAATAAGTATAGTTACTTAATGATCACAAAATTATAGAAATCTGATATTGATTGACTATGTAACGTTTGTGTTTCTTTTGTCTTGTATCAAAGACATTACTTAAAATGCGGAGGCTTTTCAGTATTATTAAGTGTTAATAATCTCTTTGTAACACAATATCGGGGAATTGATGGAAGTAGTTCAAAATGGCGGCAAGTCATATCGGCTATTTAAGTAAGATGCACTTTTATTCCAGAACAAACCCAATCAATAATTTGGAGGACAGACGCCGTTCATTAAACTTAAAGATAATAACCAAAAATATTTGTTTGTATGTTGCATTTTAAATTACATGGAAGCAACAGCATGTAATCCATTGATTCAAGAATCCTGACTTATTTTCAAAAGTATAGCTGCACTTTATCCTGGACTGGAACACGTTAATCTGGAGCACTAAACAAGATTATCAATGCTATTGCTTCTCACGTATAATACTACATGTTTAATGTAACATTAACATAATAGAGTAACACTACATTTCAGTGAATTTTAATGAAGTTTAATGGATATTTATTTATAATATTAACATGATCAATTATGAATAGTGCTAATCAATTATATTAATGTTACACTTTTAAGTATTTTGTAGTATTTAAAACTACTAATTTCAATGCAACAAAGTGTAAAATTTTGCAGTTTCTAACAATTACATTACTTTAAGTACCTTGAAACAAATGTGCAATTGAAAACTACTAATTTTGACAGTATATTAATTACAATATGATGAATGAATAATTCAAAACTCAAGTAATAAAGGAAACTAATCATGCAGAACATGCTACCTACACCATTCTTTTTTCATACTCTTTAACAAGTTTCTTTCGCTTTTACGTATAAGATACGTATAGTAACAAAATGGTACGCTTTACCTTTCTCCTAGAAGCTCCTTCCCATTGAGCTCGTAAACGGCGTCGTCCGCATCCCTATAGTCGTCGAATTCCTGTGAACAAAATACATTCATTATAAATCAATATAATACAGATATTGCTCGTTCTAATTTACATGCAGCTTTGTAATACATAACTAATTCAGATCAATATTTTGTCATTAATAATGACGGAGTATAGGTAGAACGGTAACACATATGCATTTATGCAATCAATAATACAGCAGTTAATTATAACTTTTTAAATAATGTATACTAAACAAATGTAATGATAGTGTATATAAACAAAATTTAATTAACAGCCTCAATGAATTAACATTTCAGGGATTTCAAACTGGTTTAATACCAATATTATTGCATTCGTTTTGTAACAAATAAAGTAATACTCAAACTATACTGATATATTACTTGGAATTTTGTAATTGATATTTTTACCTCCATATGAATAAATGTTGTATACAAATAACACGACTTCCCTTTGATTATAAATAACTTACAAACACATTGTAGATTAATCGATGAAAACCAGCACACAGTTCCACTAAGCAGCCACAGTACCAATGTGTTCAGGACTCAAGGTAGGTCAGATCAACTCACGAGTTCAAGTCATTTTCAAAGTGAAACACTATACTCTACACACTTTGGTCAACGATGAAATGGTAGAGTAACTAACTAATTTTTTAATTTTCTGGTCTTATGAAAAATCTAGCGGAACGCGTGATGTACCGTTAACACATTTGCGTGATTTTTCTTAACGCGTTTGTGTGATATTTTAGCAAAAATGAATGGAAAAATTAAGATAGGGATTAGGAATATTAACACACTGTGTGGTAAATAATACAGAGCCAAACTGAGTAGAGTAAAGTGTTAAGATGCGTATGTAAAATTTAATATAGGTACTTACAACAAAACCGTAACCATTCTTGATGAGGACATCACGGAATCGACCGTAGCCTCTGAAAAATCTCTCAAGGTCTCTTTCCCTGGTGCCGTATGGAAGCCCACCGACATAGACCCTTGTCCCTACCATACTGTAAAAAAAACAATTGAACCACATTAGACTTACCACAAAGGCAAATCCATTCTTCATAGCGACCTCCTTGATTCTACCATATTTCCGGAAGAACTTCACAAGGTCGCGCTCTCTCACCCGGTATGTTAATCCACCAACGAATACTCGGGTGCTCATTCTTAAAGGAAAATATAAAAACACCATACATAACAGGCTTCTTTAAGAACCTGCCATTTAGTCACATGACAACATAAGTACTGTTAATTTCCAATATTCTGGCTGAGAATGGCAATGCAATTATGTTTAATAATACTGTTATTAGTAATGTCATTTTACATTTTTTAAGTAACTTTGGTACTGCATTGTATAAAGTTTTGCAAGTAACCCTTACGCCATAAATGATAAACTAATTATAACAAATCACAAGTGCAACATAGAAGTGCTGTTAGTATATGAAATTACCTTTAAATCAAAATGATAAAATTATTAAACCATCTATTAAATGATTATACACAAAAGTGTAAGACTTCCACATTTACTATAGAAATTAATAATGTTCACAGTCGGAACTTGCAGAACTTATAAAATATTAAAATAATACATGATTAAGATAAATAACTGGAAGCTTTATTTTAATGTTTATAAAAAAAGTAAGTTATAACTTATATGTAACATGCTGTGTATTTAAAAAAACAATCCATGAAATAATTATGAAATTTGTAATTATAAAATGGTGATTGCGTGTTGACAAAAAAATATTGCAGGAAAATTCTAAATGATAATAAACATTTTCAGAAATATTTTAATAACATTAAATAACAAGCAATAGTATAGAGGACATATTTCCTACCATGTACAAAGAAGATTTCCAAAGTGAATCTGGTTAATTGTACAACTTTGAAGCTAAGATTTTTTGCAACAAAAGTATAGAACTAATTTAAGCACATCTCATGCACTTGTGGATAACAAAAACATTTCTTTTTTTCTATTCCAACTTAAAATACTTTAGCATTTAACTTGTTGACAAAGTATGAATTGCTACAGTATAGTCAAGTATTTATCACCATGCTTATTACTCAGCCAAAAAGTGTTTACACAATATTAAGTGAATGTGAACATTAGCCGTATTCGGTATTTGTAATATACCACTACCCTCAACATGAAAATAAAGAACTGCAAATATAAAACGCAATAATTCATTGAGTGTACCGAACCCGCCTAATGTTACAAGTAAATAATTAAGAACATCGAATATATAAATAATTTGCAATAAACTAATTAAAATTTCGAACATAAAATCGTGTATTATTAATCTTTAAAAGATGCATGATAAAAACTTGTAATATATACTCGTTTATACAAAAAAGATTTGAATACTTGTTCCTAACGCTGATATATATTACCTAATATTATTGGTGTATCGTTAAATATTGTACCCGTATGAAATCCTTTCAAAGGTTAAAAAGTATTGATAGTTTAATTTGCATGGATATTTAATTAATTTATTGTTAATTTTAATACAGATGTTTTTATCTGATACATGAAACGAAAGAAAAATGCAATGTACTCCAACGACAAACCGTATTTTTGATTGGACACTCGTTTCATAAAATGGCGGTCGTACGATCGCTTATCCTCGATTCCATTCATGCTACATAATTTATGAACTACATATATACAAATAAAAATGAGGCAAATACAACTTATAAAAGCATGTGTAAGATATTGCAAAATAATTATATTTATTGGATAACACTATTTTCATTACTATTTTTATTAGTTAAGGGATCTATGAAAAATTATAGATACAATAAACAAATTGATAACAGCATAATTTTGTTACGAGGATTATCTGTTGTCCAGTGTAGATAATGCTTGAAGAAAGTTGATTACTTTTAACGAAGATTATGTTGGTTAATTTAATGAAAAATCTTATATACGAGCACCCGTGTGACGTAGCATTTGAAACGCTGTTGCCACGTCATTACCATAGCATACAATTTGTATAACAAACGGTAGTTTGAATCATAATATTAAAAATATGATTTAAAATCTTGGTCGTTGACAAATTACTGTTAATCACGATACAACATGTTGAGAGAACGCTCATCGCGAATTTACTGTTCTATCCATAAAACGAAGTAATCGCAAACGATTCAATTTCGTTCGCGTATAAATAATAATGCGGAGGGAAAAACATGTTTACAAACTTACCTGATACAAGTGAAACAAATTTTCTTTGACCACTAAACCCTTATGTTCTTCTACGACACGATACCACTGAAATTACTAGAAGAAGTAATGATCGGCGTCTGAAGTAAGATGGCTCGCTGCAATAACGGAAACAAAACGGGGTTCACATAACGGAAAACAAAGTTGCTGGCTATCTGAATCTCGACACCAGACGCCTAACCTTAAAACTAAAGGAGAATATAACATAAATTACAATCAATAACTTTAATAAAATAAAATTATAATTTAGAAGAAGCTCATAATTTTAAAATTGATACATTACATGAAATAATATTCTGTAATATCTTTTGTTTTGACTATTACTCCATTTCTCTGAAACGCTGTATTGCGAAGAAGTTACGCATTTACTGTATTCAAAGTAATAAATACTATAATTATTCAAAGCTTCGTTTATTTTGCTTTTATTATAAATTTATTGTTATTTTTAACGATTTTTATTATACTGGCGGGTAACTGTAAGTGTGTGTAGATAGTTTTTAGTTCAGGATACTGTGCGCAGCAAGTTGCGCGGCAAATTTGAATAAAGATTTCAGCAACACTGTCTTTAAAATGAAATGTTTTAGAAAAGCACCATCATAGTTTAAATACTCTGAAATAAAATGTAGATAAAGTTTCATGATGTTACTCTTGTGAAACTAAGTTACATACGATTATGAAATTAGATATTTTATTTTTAAAATCAATAATTGAACATAAAGAAAAAGTTTAGCAAAGTAAATCGCAATCATGATTAAAATAAACATCGTCATATATAATATTGTATATTTAAAGACCAGGCATATATTGCGCAAAGAAGAATAACAAAATTAGTTTGTCAGCAAAGAAATGTTGGTAAAGCCGTGGATCATCTATACGGTTGACTAACGTGGCGCCACCTATTGAAAACAAAAATGGTGGCCCACAATATGCCCTATCCCTGCCCTGGTTTTATGGCACGCCAAATGTCTGCGTTCTCTAGGCTTCTTTCTACTATGTATTTCCCTCCGACTGATACACCCAATTTCAATGTGAACAAAGGGAATCATTTCCTCGCGGTCGACCCTATCTTACGTGCTAAATAAGTGGGGCTACTTCTAACCAAACCGAAGGTGATCCAAAACTATCGAATATTTCGCGAAATTATAACCGCATCAGCTCGATTCGTCGTGTCATTCACCTTATATAATGTAATTGGTTACACACGGTTCCACACGGCGATCGCACGCCTTTAACATGTATTACCCGTTACAGGAAACACAAAATAAACAATCTAGCATTGTGGCAATGCAGTAAGGAGCAAAATCCTATATGCTTTTATTAATACAGAGCGCAACATAGATGTTTTATTTTGGCTACACGCAATGTACGAATTACACGAAATATTTCCTGTCGTCCATGTAACACGTACTATCAAAATCATTTAATGTATTTATTGAAATGTCAAATAATCACAGAATGATATTAGGTTCGTACATGTTGCAGATCAAGTATTTGTTTCCTTGACAACGGGTCTGTGGATGTTGCTATTTTAAATCAATTTATTTTAGTGATTGATCATACTCAGTTTGCATAATTAAATAGTATTTTATACATGTTAGAAGGATTTTATAAAGCGTAGTGTAAAGGATATGATAAAGGTTGTTTCCAATGCGAATAAAGATTTTAATGTTGTTACTGACAATAATCTTTTTATTATTGTAGGTTATTGAATTTTATATAAACTGGTAATGACAGATAGGGCACGCACGATGAGATTAGAAGCAGAAATGGCTGCTCCTTTGCACCTGCAAAGATTGGAGCGTAGCCTTAATGTACAGCCCTTTCTAAGACAGATTAACGAACTGTTTCAAGATCCAGCTAGGTAGATTTCACATTTAAATAAAATTTAGATAACTGTAAACATGATGAAAAATTTGTATTCTCTTTACTTTTACAGCGAGGATGATAAATCTGTATCTTCAGAATCTTCAGAAGGATCAGACAATTATCTCGATAATGTTCTGATTCGTAAAGAAGGTGTGGAAATGATTTATGTATTTTAAAAGTAATATTTTGCTCCATTGTATTGTGTACTAATTTTTAATTTTATAGAGGAGAGAATAAATAAATTGAGACTATACAACATGTCAAGTGTGGGAGAGGAACGTAGATGGTTGCAGGATATTCTATTGAGTGATTCATCTGATAGTTCAGCTTCAGGATCTGATACAGATAGTCCTATAACAGAAGAAGATTTTCAAGAAATGTTAAAGTTTCATATACTTAGGAAAAAGTACCAAGCTCGTTTTTATCAGAAACCAGAGGTAAGATCAATTTATTTAAACTAAAATTGTATTAGGGAGAGGTACATATCCATACAATAAATAATAATTATTTTCAGAACATTCAGTACCAATATTATAGTGCTGGGTTATTGTCAAGTTATGACAGATTTTTAGAACATCAGAAATTAATAGTTGGAAATAAAAAGAAGAAAGAAAAGAAGCCAGAGAAAAAAGTGATAAAAATAAAAAAGGAAAAACTTCCCCGCCATAGACCATCAGAAGATTACCTTGTATGTGAAATCGAAATCGCCGCTTATCCTAGATTATTATCATACATGGTTTTTAGGAAGGTGAATATCCAGAAGAAGAATGGGATCGTACTATTCCCAAAGAAGAGGAATTAGATGAAGCTGAATTGGAAGCAATAATGCGTCATCAACCTCGACCACGCGGAAGGAAGAAGCATAACAATAAAAGTCCTGAAGTAATGGCAATGAGAAGACGAAAAATTTGGGTAATGATGTCTAAAAAGGAACTGGGAAAAGTACAAAGAGCAAAAACTAATAATCATAAGGAAATGTTAATTAGTTGTAAGAAAGTAGCACAGCACTGCATGAGACATTGGAGACAAAAGGCTATGCAAGTGAGTAGTACTGCATCTCTGTTATTGCTTATATATATTTAAGGATAATTAAAAATTTTGTATGTTTTTTTCATGTTTATAGTCACAGAGAAACATGAAAGAGACTATCTGGAAAGCAAAACGTCTAACAAGAGAAATGCAAGCCTATTGGAAACGTTACGACCGAGTCGAACGTGAAACAAGGAGAAGATTAGAAAAAGAAGCTGAAGAGCAGAGAAAAATGGATGTCGAGTTGATTGAGGTGATTAATTACCTTCGTAATTTGTTACATTTACTTACAAACTAAGATCTGATTTAAATTCCTTCATGTTTTAGGCAAAACGGCAACAAAGAAAGTTAAACTTTCTTATAACTCAAACTGAATTGTATGCTCATTTTATGTCCCGAAAATTAGGAAAGGCTTCGCCCGAAGAACAGTTGAGAATTTTAAATCAGCTAGACGAGGAAAAAAATCCGAGACTTGTTGGGATCGATGATTATGACAGGTAAATATTTAATGAATATCGAAACAACAAAATATTATAATAATTATTTGTTATACAGTGAAGTCATGAAACAGAAAGCGAAAAAGAATGCTACTGAAGCATTTGACAATGAAAAAGCTAGGGCAAAACAGTTTGATACCGCAACAGCATCTCAAGAGTTACGACTTAGCGATACCCCTGAAAATCTGGAACATCCGCAGCCCTCGATTTTTAAAGGAAATCTTAAAGGATATCAATTGAAAGGAATGAATTGGTTAGCTAATTTGTATGATCAGGTTGGTTCATGTATTAAACTATCCATAACATCATCCTTTTTAAAAACAAAGATATTAATAATTGATATTCCTTTTAGGGTATTAGTGGAATTTTGGCAGATGAAATGGGTTTAGGAAAAACTGTACAATCTATAGCGTTTTTGTGTCATGTTGCTGAAAGATATTGTACGTCTTTTTTCAACATTGTTGTTACATTTTAAAACATGGCGAGTAAATTATAATGTTTTTCGCAGCTGTGTGGGGACCATTTTTAATCATATCGCCTGCTTCGACGTTACACAATTGGCAACAGGAAATGGCACGATTTGTACCAATGTTCAAAGTGGTTCCATATTGGGGTAATCCACAGGAACGGAAAATATTGAGACAATTTTGGGACACTAAAGATTTACATACAAAAGAAGCTTCATTTCACGTTGTGATAACCAGTTATCAATTAGTTATTACCGATTATAAGTATTTTAACAGAATAAAGTGGCAGTACATGATTTTAGACGAAGCACAAGCTATAAAAAGCACCAGCAGGTCGGTGTTTATTGACCTTTTAATTTCGTTATGAGCACTTAATATGTTAATACGCTTTTACAGTATGAGATGGAAGTTATTACTTGGATTTAGTTGCCGCAATAGATTGTTACTTAGCGGTACACCTATTCAGAACAGTATGGCAGAGTTATGGGCATTGTTACATTTTATAATGCCTACTTTATTCGATTCTCACGATGAATTCAATGAATGGTTTTCCAAAGATATCGAGAGCCATGCAGAAAACAAAACGGGGATCGATGAAAGTAAGGATTACTGTTACAAAGTTTATAAATAGGTATACATATATATTTTTTTATTTAGAGCATTTATCGAGATTGCATATGATTCTGAAACCCTTCATGTTACGAAGAATAAAGAAGGATGTGGAAAATGAATTATCGGACAAAATCGAAGTAATGGTGTATTGTCCGCTCACCACTCGTCAAAAGCTACTTTATTCGGGTAAGAATATATTTTTTATATGTGTAATTATTATAGTTGTCATAACTGTGATATGCTTTTTGTACAGCATTGAAGAAGAAAATTAGGATAGAAGATTTATTACATTATACAGTGGGCGGCGGTGATACTGCAACAAATGATAAAAATTTCACATCAAATCTTATGAATCTAGTCATGCAATTCCGAAAGGTAGTAATTAATATGTCACACCACTTTGCATGTCTATGAATATTTTCTTTATAATGCTAATTTCAGGTTTGCAATCATCCAGAACTGTTCGAACGCAGAGATGCTAAATCTCCATTATTCATGCGTACAGAATGTTACGAAATGCCCGCATTGTTATATATAGAGGGACTCTTGCACCTCTCGTTGCCATCCAAAGATCACTTGTTGTACAATAAGTTATTTATATTTGCTACGGAACACATACATCGAACTCTTCACGATGGCAGCGCAGATTTCTCTCAAAATTTCTTCTCTTTCAGTCGATTTATTAACTTATCTCCAATGGAAATAAATCAAATATTTATCGTTGGTATATTATTCAGGTATATAGAACTGTTCAAACCAAACGTATCTAATGATTCATGGCACTAAGTTTATTATACCTGTTCAGATTATGTCTTGCGACTATAATGGAAAGAAAGATAAAGATGATGCATTATTGGGAAGATTGGAACGCCGACGAGAGAACAGAAATACCTAGAAATGAAATGATTCTTCTACCTAGGAGGGTTAACAGCTCGTCACGATCGTTGCAGAATTTAATATTCACGCGAAAGATAATCGAGGGAGAACCTGTATATACTCATACGACACATGTCATTCATTCAATGCCTGAAACGGTTGCCCATCGAATTCTGCGTAGTAGTAAAAAAGCAGCTAATCAATTATTGAAGGTTGAGGATAATTTAAAAATATTTTTCGTGTTATTTAATGAAGCATCTATATACTTGCTTTGTGTTTCGCAGAGGATACTTCCTTCTACCAAAGCAGAACAAGAAGAGTCAAAAGTTACTTTGTTACCAGAACATCCTCACCTTCCCAGACCACCGATAATGCGATACTGTCAACAAACTACCATTCCATCTTTTATTTGCGATACTTATCCTAAGGTATTTAAGCGACTCAATAGAATGCAGTAATAACGAGCAATGCAATAAGTGGCTGTTAATTTTAGGTTCAAGCTAGTCCGCGAAAACTGTATGTTAGTAATAGTTCTGCAGCGTGTGCGTGGAGGAGACACGAAGAATGCGGCGGAAACTTTGGTCAACGACTTCTTTGGTTCGGTTGTGAACAAGCTCTCTCTACTTCATCGTCACGAGAGAGCTCTCATTCTCGTGTAGCACAGACAATACCAACATTTTCCGTCGAACCATACGGTGGAATATCTGCATGTACACCGATTAATGGCTGGTCAAATATTATCGTACCGGGTAATTATTTTTTATATCGCTTTAAATCTTTTTATATGAATTTTAATGAATGTTATTTTAATGATTTAGATAAGCAAACCTTAGTGACGGATGCAGGAAAATTGTCAGTATTGGACAGTCTTTTGCGTCGCCTCAAAGAACAAGGTCATCGAGTTCTCATTTATTCTCAGATGACAAAGATGATTGATCTATTAGAGGTATTAAAATCTAATTCTATGTAACATTGTAATTATACGAGATTGAACATTGCATTTTTGTTGTAGGAATATATGTATCATAGGAAACACACTTTCATGAGATTAGACGGTTCTTCTAAAATCTCAGATCGACGTGACATGGTCGCAGATTTTCAGAAACGGTAACTTTTCTTATAAAATGTAACAAGACATTTTAATATCTCTAGATCTAGAAGGGGGTTATATTTTTAATGAGGATAACGAACTACACGAACTCTTTTTCTTGTTTAGAATATGTATTAGTCCTGTATCGTGTTGCATGTCTAAAGTATGCCCTTCGCTCACTCGTGTATAATCAACGAATTAATCGGCGAATCGCCCTGTCCCGACAGCTGCACTGTCTGCCTGTCAGGAATACACGATTTAACAGACTTGCAAAAAGACAAATTTTTTTCTACCAATATTAATACTGATATTTCAGTTGTACTTTAGTGGTACAAATATTAACGTAGCCTATGCATTTCATATAGGAAATCCTCTAAGTGCCAGGCACTTTGAATGAATTTCCATACTAAACACATCCTATCTGACTATTCAGTTCTACAGGGGTTGTTTCATATTTCAGGGCGGATATTTTTGTCTTTCTATTGAGCACCCGAGCTGGAGGACTGGGAATAAATCTCACTGCTGCGGACACGGTTAGTAATTTCATCCTTTGACATGGTACCTTGGGTGCGACGTGGGCTTCTCTTGGCTGTGGAGTGTACAAAGGAGTGCACGTCTTCAAGTGTGGGAGAAATTAATTCGAGCAACGTTTCGTTTATTCTGGAATTAAAGACAAACAACTGTGACAATAGTAATTGATCAGAAACGCTATAGCATAAGAACCAAATGTATACATAGCGTGAGGAATCACTATTTCGTTTCTCTTGGAGACAGTATTTGATCACGATAGTCTTCAGTATCTGTCATCGATTTAACAAGACTGGAAGCGTGTCAGATCAAATATCATTTTTCATGATATGCAGATAGATAATAGAACTGTACTCTGTGTAGTAACTTTTCACGTAAATTTGATGTTAGCAAGAAAAGATCTTTAATAACGATGTTACAAATGGAACTATTTATCACGTGTTCAGATGAACGAAGCAGTATTTGAATAGGAACGTGCATATATCTTGACTGCAGGCGAAATGTTGCCGCAAATTAATTGATAGGATCGATAAGACTTTTGGTCAGGGTCGTTCCCCTGCAGTGCCGAAACTTTGCATTCTGTTACGTACGAAAGTGCACGAATGTGGGCCGTAGGTATGCATTATCAAATGCATTTGCATATGCCCTCGTTCGAATATCGAATAGAAAGAGAACTGTCTCTATCTAGAGCACCGTGTAACAGATATCTGAATTCTATTTTCACAGATTTCAAAACATGATAATTCTTTTATACAAGAAAGGAAATAATTTTTAAAAACTTTTGTCAATTTTACATTACAGTACAGTCTTCTTATAAGGTTTCCCTTTGGAAATTTTTAAAAATTGAATTTGGGAAATGTTTCATGGGCCATATAGCGAGACTCAAGTGTATTCAGAAATTGCAATGTTTAATTATAACTTGATACTAAAGCAAAATTATTTTGCAGGTAATATTCTATGACAGTGATTGGAATCCAACGGTGGATCAGCAAGCTATGGATCGCGCTCACAGGCTAGGACAAACGAAGCAGGTTACGGTGTATCGATTGATCTGCAAAGGAACTATCGAGGAGAGGATACTGCAGCGTGCTCGAGAAAAGAGCGAGGTCGGTGTTGGACTTCAGAAATCAAGTTTTTGAATGTCAGACTTGGGAGTAATTTGCTGATGAATTTTTTTTAGATACAACGTATGGTAATTAGCGGTGGAAACTTTAAACCAGATACATTGAAGCCTAAGGAAGTTGTTTCCCTGTTGTTGGATGATGAAGAGATTGAAGCCAAATGTAAGTATCACAAAATGCATCAGATGCTAATTTTGATGGAGTGATTTATAATAACAAATCAGTACAAAAGTAAACAAATTATTAAAGCAGACGAGAAGTTAAAATATATAAAAACTTCACAACCTCTATAAAAATTCTATAATCTTTAGTCTAAATATTGTTACTAATTCAGGTGCAATTTTGGTTGCATCATGTTACACAAACTATACCAAGTTAGACAAAAAGGGATAGATAAGAGGATGGAAAGAATGTTGGTGCAATTACATTATGCTCGTTAGGTTATGCTAATACCTTAATAACGAATAATAATAAAAAAGAAGTAACGAACGTCCCCGTATATACAAGCCCACGTTTATATATTTCAGATAGCCAACGGAGCGAGGAGAGAAAGCAGCATGCTGAGGATGTCCGACTCGAGTTGAACCTATACCATAAGGAGAGGGACCGGAAGAGGAAGTTAACCGCGCTTCCGGTCAAGGTAAGCTCGATGCCCTTAGAGCTATCAGTCCCCAGTCTTCTCATTCTCCATTTCTCCCTTACTGATAGAATCTTACTTTCATTCTTTCCTTAACATTATTTCAAGCGGTTCTTCTCTGAACTAACTTTAATTTTTCTTGCATTTCCAGGGTGACGCGAAGAAGCCCTGCTTGTCTGACGCGAACGGTGATAAGATCGGTGACGGATTTCAGTCCAATTCCAACGAGAACAGTCAAAGTGGTATTCAGCCCTATCACCTCAACAATCATCAACAAATCCTTGATAGCACAGATGACTACAGTGTACCAACAAGTCCAGTTAAATCAGAGGTCTGTATACATATACGAAGACATGCCTGTTTTCTCTTAATAACAATTTAATTCACTCAGGACGAGACAAGTAACGACGGACTCGTGGTCGACGTCGATGGACCCGTAGGAGCAACCTCGAGTGACACTCGACAATCACGAATTAGCCAATTTGGAGAAGCTGGGAAGGTCAATCGTCTGGAGCATCACATGCCCTTCAGCAGTGGAACTGGAGTTCGAATGAGACCTAACGTTCGCGGTACTAGTAAAAGAGGCAGACCTCGTGGGTCTCGTCGAGGAGGTCCTGTTGGAGGAAAGGGTAGAGGTCTACTCTTGCTTCATCCTTCAAAGGGTCTTAGCGATCCTCAGTCACCGTCATCTTTGTCTCCGACCAGCAGTAGTATAGCCAATGAACAAACTTTTCAACACGGTGAGTATTTTGTTCACGCGATTACATACTAGTTTATCGATAACACTAAATGATGTCGAGGTTTATTGCAAGAGGGAAAAAAATGTAAAGCGATGAATATGCAAACACCCTTGCACACCGAACTTCGAACGTTAAGCTCGTGTAATATTTAATTTATACAATCGACTGATGCGATTAACTCGGATAATTAACTGGGACAGCTTTTATCCTGTTTATATTGCACGCTACAGAAAATCAGGTGCATATAATCAAGGCAGGAATATTGAGCAGATTGCAGCACAGATTAAAGTGTATACAGTTGTCCTCGAAAACGCGAAACGAGACCTGAATCTCTTCATCTGTGAAATTCACGTAAACTATTTGTAAAATCGCGTGCTATTGATTCTGGAAATCATTTGCGCATAACGGAAGAGAACTTGCATGTACGTTCGTGCGTCCTTAAATCCTCCATCTGTGAAATTCTCACTCGAAACTTAAGCTTAAGTCGCTGAGAAACGACCGACTCCACAACAGTTCGCGATACAGTTAAGAGGATTAAAAGAGAACGGGGACCAAATTCGAAATGGTCCACACCGATGAAAATGACTTTTCGTGACGCGTTTCCCCTCGAATCGACCCCGTTAATTCCTCTGACTCTTTCATAGATCCGAACCCCAGTTTTGTCTGTATCGCACCACTTGGTCGGGTTCTCATGGGGTTTCGCTCGGTGCAAAAAAGAAAGTACCCCAGGGTCCGTGGGTCCATCGAAATTCCCTCGCGGTTACATGTGCGCAAGTGCTTCAGGGAACAGTTGGCGTTGTTTCCTAAGGGTACGCGATTTACCCTTCGAGATATCTACCCCCATCGAAGTAAGTCCAGTGACTCATTCGTTCGCGGTTTTCATGTCGTTCGAGGACGTGTCTTCTGGGACGGGCTTATCTTGGCTTAGGTGGTTACTTTTTGCCACAAACTGATCATTCTATTGATCCGGGCTTACTACTCCCTTTTATAAAAAGTCTCAAAGCGGCACTTGTGTTAACTCCAAGCTCGATGCAAATGACTGCCAAAAAGAACTTCTCTTCTTTGCAATTGGAATGTTGTTAACAGTCGAATTTTGGAGAACAATTTGTCGCGCGTGTATCGTTGCATAACGCAAAAGGAGATGCGTGACAAGGAGCAAAAAAGGAAAAAGGAGAGAGGCGAGAAGGCTCGACGAAAGCGAGCCACACGAGTAGGTGGCCTCACGCAACGAAACGAAACGACACGTGGACCGAAGTTTACGCGGGCAACGTGCGCCACGGCACCTCGCGCGTTGCACGATGTTTTCGTGCTACATATACGGAAAGGAAAGGGGTCGTTCTCTTCTCTTTCTCCTTTTCTCTCACTTGTCGTCGGACTGGAAAGCGAGCGGACAATAGCAGGTGCGGAGCGAACGCGACAGCTGCGATCGATGATGCTCTTCTTAGGTTTTTGGAACTCGCTCACCCCTCTCTTTTCTCCTTCTCCTTTCTACTATCATTTCGTTACTTTGTCTTCTTCGTTTTTGTTTGTTTGTCATGTCCTTCTTGTTTCGTTTGGTAATTAGACTTTTGTATCTTCCTCCGTGTATCTTTTCTTTCTTGATCTTTGCTTCCAATTTTACATAATTACATTCATTTATTACTCTGGTTATTCGAACCTTAAATTCCCTTTGCACATTCTTGTATTTAGGACATCGATGGAGATGCGAACGAGACATGATCGATGTATCCAAAGTAATATGATGCCCTTCTGAGATGTGCATTTGCGAAAATTCTGTCCTGAAAATTCATGGAATTCTGAAACATGCGTGAATATTCAGTTTGCAAAGTTTTTAACGATAAAATTGCATGAACGATTCGTATTCATAATGTTAATTCGCGAGTAGATAACTGTTGGGGATGGTTCGAAAGGGAAGATGTAGGGGGTTGGTTTCAGTCGAATCGTGCCGTACCTGATCGTACCGCACCGTGTCATCTTGCTCGCATTGCTTCCATCATATTTCCGTGTCGTGTAACGGAAAGTAATTTCAACCAGTTCGAGTGGTTGGAACAGCTTATGGTTCCGCGACGGGTCAATCTTCTTTCAAATTCCATTGGCTCATTTAAACCTACAAAAATATTTGTTAGAGACTTTCAACTTAAGACTAGAGACTTAGAGACTAACTTATAGGTTAGTTATAACAATATACAAATCTTCAAATCTGCAAATTCTTCAAGGCCAACTAGCATCCTCCTACCATCATAATCCTTGTCAAACCTACAAAAATATATCTGTTAGAGAATTTCAAAACCTTGAAACTTTGAGTTTAAGATTAAAATTATAAAAGCTATAACTTCAAGGCTAAAGCCCCTTCATAATCTCAGTGCTTAAACTCTTCCTATCATTACGATATCGAGCAATTCATTATACCTTGAAGGGATCGAGGGTACGAAACTATTTCATTGTCCCTCGTTTTAGAATGCAATAATTTTCTCCGGCTTCAAACTGCCGGGAGACGGCCCTTCAGGGTATGGGTGAAAGAAGCCGGTCGGTAAAGGACGAAGGAGTTCGGCTGTCGGGCTGAGATACGGCAGGATAATGCGAGAAGATAGGACGAGGATACTGCCAGCCGGACGGTCGGCATTCCGCGGATCCTCGCGTTCCATTCGCTCTTCCAGCTACCTCGAAACTTCTGCAGACCCTCTTTGTACACCGGGCTCTATCTCCCGCCGGGAATCTCACCCACGCGTGCTTTTCGCGGGAATCGCGGACCCTCGACGCGAAAATATTTTAACCGACCCCTCGTTGCCTGCGTGCCTGGATATGAATTCAATTAGGATCGATTCTTCTTTCGCTTTTGTGGCGATCTTATTCTGCTTTAAATCCTGTGAGTGCCATTTTGTGTTACTCTCATCTAATTGTGTCATACGACTGAATCATTGCTTTCTATTTGCAATGCTGTTATTTTATATTGGTACTAAAACTTCATGTTGTCCTTCTTGTTAAACTTCATTTTGTACTTCTTGTTAAACTTCATGTTGTACTTCTTGTTAAACTTCATGTTGTACTTCTTGTTAAACTTCATGTTGTACTTCTTGTTAAACTTCATGTTGTCTTCCTTGTTAAACTTCATGTTGTCCTTTTTGTTAAGCTTCATGTTGTCCTTCTTGTTAAACTTCATGTTGTACTTCTTGTTAAACTTCATGTTGTACTTCTTGTTAAACTTCATGTTGTACTTCTTGTTAAACTTCATGTTGTCTTCCTTGTTAAACTTCATGTTGTCCTTTTTGTTAAACTTCATGTTGTCCTTCTTGTTAAACTTCATTTTGTACTTCTTGTTAAACTTCATGTTGTACTTCTTGTTAAACTTCATGTTGTCCTTCTTGTTAAACTTCATGTTGTCCTTTTTGTTAAACTTCATGTTGTCCTTGTTAAACTTCATCTTGTCCTTATTAAACTTCATCTTGTTCTTGTTAAACTTCAGTCTCCTTGAGTTTTCTGGTTTTTCTGTTCAGACCAAGTGAATAAAATGTACATAAATTTTTCTGGCAATCGTAGTTGATAATACGAACCGTTATCGTGGCAAGCTTTTCAAGGATTTCGAAATCTCGTCGACGAAATCGCGTGCAGAATTTCGAAAGCACGTAACGACTCGCTCTTCTGCAAAGAGACGAGTCGAGCCCGAGCTTTTCTCACCCTTGGTCCTTTTGTTCTCGAGTGGCCACTCGAAGTTCCTCTCGCGAGGTGGCTGAAGAGCGTCTCCTGAAAGGATCGAGAAACGTGGCAAGGAATGTCGACGACTCTGAAACAGGAAAAGGGAAAAAGAATGAGCGAAAGGAAGGAAGGAAGAAGACAAGGAGCATCGTACATCCTTGCTCGGCTACTGACCTCCGACCCTGTCACTCACCCTCCTCCTTCGCCCAGAATTTTTCTCTCTTCGCTATCTCATTAAATTCTCTTCCCCTCTGTACACCCTTGGCTCGTCCTCGTGGCCGGCTCCTGTGCGATCACTTGAATAGATGCCGTGGCACGATCTTTCGAGTTTGTCTTCCATGCCGCGGTGTACCGGTGAATAACCGATTAACTGGTCAGACCACTCCACGTTAAATGGAGGGCCTTCGTAGCCTGCATCTGCCATTATAATCGTGAAAATGTTCAGGGGCATGAGCGTCCTCTTTCTCGCGAAATTCGTCGCTCCAGGACATTCTTATCACTCCACGCATTCCTCCACATCTCGATAATCCATTCTCATAATTTAATTACCATTTGCCTTGTATTTTCTGGAATACATAAATTTTTTCAGATACAATCATGGACTCAGATGCGTTCAGACATAATGTTAAGAATTACCATGTTACAGGGATACAAGGGACATCCGGTCCAGCAGAAGGCGACGGTCCCAGCACGGTGGGTCCTCTAGGACCCGTAGGCACTCTAGGCGCTATGTCAGGCAGGGGAGCTCCTCCGACGATTCGGAGAGGTCCCGGCAGACCCCGCCTGAGGCCAACCGGTCCAGGCCACCAAGGGTACCGTACCCCGGGTCATCATCAAGGCAGGAAAGTCCAACGACCGCTTCCGGTTCCTCTACGATCTCAACAAACCATAGCGTCGATGAATCAACAGAAGTCCGCGCAGCGTCCCTCAGGATCGGGCTCCTTAATATCCTCGTCCAATATGAACGCATCTTCCTCGTCGTTCTCTTCGTCTACCCTCGAATCTCGCCCCTTCGGATTTTACATGCAGCAGCAGCAACAGCAACAACAGCAGCAGCAACAGCCACGCGGTTCGTCCTAGCTTCCGGAGGGCGAGTTCCTTCGCGTGATACTCGAGGGAGATTCTTGAACCAGTGTTCCGGAAAACGTCTGACGAAGTCCCTGAAAAAAGTAACAATGTACAATGTTGATTGTTCGGTGATATAACGAAGCATTAGAACATGTGGTAGATGAAGTTTCACGTGATGATTTTACGCTCAAATAGTGCAATTCAATCTTTTTAACGAATTTAGCGTTTTCTCGACGAATGACAATTAGCTGGCGTTTAGCGTAACTACGGCTTGCAAGTTAGCTGGCATTTAGCTGCGAGGAGAACCCTGGATCCTGTGACGATGAGAACGATGTTGATCAACGTCGATTTTCTTCTGTATTATAAACTATGTATAAAAAAAACACTTGTCGATATTTAAGCTTATCGTAAACGATTAAAGATAACCGAGCGTAATTTTCCCTTATAAATTAGTCCCTTCGGAGCGCTGGGGTCGTTTAGGCAATCTGTACAAATTCACGCCATTCGCGTTACGTTAGGTACTTAATAGAAGCTCGAGCTGGCTGGAGATTCGGGAACAAAATTCGGAAAACAGTCAGAAAGGACAATAGCAGACCTCGAGCAAAACGAAAAGAAAGATTCTGGAAGAATTGGAGTTCTTGCCAAAAAAGACTCTTTGCAGCGTCGATTTCTTAAAACGAAGGCGAACAGTAAATATTAAATTGTTGCTTGTCAAATGGTTTCTAAAACCGTTCGTGACATAAAAGTGAAATAGCACTTACGGCATATCAATTTTGAGCTTGACGAAAATAACTGCGTTTCACTGATGTTCTCGATATAAAGTGGCTAGCTGCCAGTTACAACGAACAATAACCGAAATCCGATATTATGACATAGTATCGCAGTGTAGCAGCTTAAGGTTCGAAAATGTGAACGTTGGATATAAATTGGAATATTCCGTAAATTTTATGGTGTCTTCACGCGTTTTTAAATCAGTTTGACATGCAACAACTTAATAGCTTTTGATTTTGATTGTACATTGACGAGTTTTTCTAAAAAAAATGATGTAGAAGATTCATTTTGACAAATTTTTGAGTTTGCAAATCAAGCAGTTTGGAGATTTGAAAATTAACATATTAGTAAAATCTACATTCATTTTTAGCCAAAGGAAACCTACGTCGCAAATGTACCGCACTTGGACACATTGTAGCATTATTAAAATTGTGACGAGCGAACAAGGGACGAACGTGAAAGCAATCGAATGAACAGAAGGTAGCAAGATACCTTTCACGTTTCGTTTCTTTTTCCACAATTGCTTTACGAAACCGTCCCTCGTTCCTTCGCTTTTCTCCTTGCGCCTTCATCCCTCCTATTCTTCACTCTTTAGAATATTACAATTCGTCAAACTATTGTAGCACCGTTACGTCGCTAGGCTCGGTTAAACGATATTTTTTATGCGTGTTTATGAACCGTCATCACGCCGATTCGATTTATAAAAAAAAAAACATAAAAAAGGTATTTATATTAGCAATAAACGATTCAAATGGCCAATGTTCTGTCTTCAATGCCAATGAGTTCTGTCTTCAATCCTTTAAATTTGCTGCCATCACAGAGTTTGCCAGGTGAACCTGGAATTATGTGCGTTAACAAAGACATTTTGTAATGCTACAAATCTAGGAGCATAGATGGAAAAAAACCATTTTCTTGGTAATGACATCCCGTGCGTTGAGTTTATTTTCTGCGATGCATTCCTTGGATAGTGACGCGTTACGAGTGTGTCCGGTTGCTGGTTTTTTGCGCCGACACGACCAAGTGAACGAGGTAAATGAAGTAAATGGATGAACGGTGAATAATGGATGAACCGAGACTGGTGTCACCAACACGCCTCGAACGAATGCTATTTGTTTTTTTGTCAAGGTTTCACGGTAAACCGGACATAATCGAAGCGTTTAGTTCATTGCTGTTCAAACTTGAGGTGTGTCGCATACCTGACCTCGCAATTACGTATCAAGGATCTCGTAGCAGACTCTGAAAATTATAGCACAAATTAGTATGGTACAATACAGCGGTATTCGAATAATTTTTCAAGAGAAAATAGATGTAACACTAGAAACTGTTAGGGAACGTTGCTGAAGAAACTTGTAGCAGAAAGCTTGAAAAAAACTCCAGCAATGACAACTTGAATTCGAGGTAAACAAGGGTCATTCTAGAACGTTCACGCATGAAAATACCTTCATGGGGAAACACCTGGCCGACGTAAACTCGCCTCCAAAAATAACGTTGATAAATTTATCGGGTTGATCCAGCACTCGCCGTAAATTTAATTACCTGAAGTTTCTCTGGTGGCATACCAAAGACCCCATCGAACTATAGGCCCATAGTCTCCCCGAGACTATCAGCGTTAGTCGTGGAATCCTTAACTAAGGATTAACATCGACCAGCTTGCACATTCGCTGATGCAGGAGAAGCGAGATTGCACGAGAGAAAAAGGGAGAGGAAAGAGATGCATTGCACGCGCGGATGGAAGGTGCGGACGTACACCTGAGAGCAGGTGCATCGCATGGTCCTCTTCTCTTTGCTCTCTTGTCTCTCTCTTTATCTTTGCCACTGACAATCGCTTGATCCAGGGGACATAAAATTGATTGAGGTCCTTTGCTTCTTCAACGCTTCTTGGATTTTGATTCCTCGACCCTTTGAGACGTTTATGGTTACTGTGTGTTATTGGTCAATTAGGAAACAAATAAAACAGTCTACTTGCATGACTATCCTACTCTTCAATTGCATCTTGTACAAGGTCACTTGGCAGTCGCATAGCTCGTCTCTTTTTTGCTTTACACTTGATATCGGAAATTCCGTATTCACCGTGTTTTCTCGTGTTCGGACTCATCCTGAATCGCAATGGCCACTTTACTTTGCCTGGCTTTTTTCCGGAATATTTGGCGATAATAATAGATCTGCGACAAGAATATTTTACTATCGATTCTTCCTTCAAATATTTAATGCCATTCTCCACGTACAGCAAGTCATGTTAACTGAAACGATAAATTTGGATTAAAATTTTTGACAAAACTCTTGAATCGAATTTCTTTGTACAACACGATTTCTTTTTACATTCGGAACTTAATTATCGCGTTGTAGCAGGGGTCAATCCGTACAGTTCGTGAGAACCATGCTATTTCGCGAAAGAGGAACCGTTTCACCGGCATAACAACTCGCGTTTTAATATCGTAAGAAGCTATTAAAAGCCGCGTTATATTCATACATATTCACGAACCAGTTTCTATTCGTCACGGTTTTAATTTACAATATCGTTACATTTATCCCACGTGTTTTCTACTCACGCTGGTTTAATAAGGATTCTTCTCGTTTATGATATTTATGTACGTATACTTTCTATGGAGAGAAATCATTAAAGGTAATTAGTTAATGGAGTGATTGTGAGTTATATCGTCAAAGGAGAATCTAAACAGGCGTGTCGCTTTGTGAACGAATCTTGAGGATAGTTCCATGGAGCTATTTTTAAGTCCTCTGTCGAATCATTCCGCTGGATTCTAAGTAAACGATTCATACACGAACTTGGACAAAGTATAAAATCCATAAAGATGATCGATCGTTCGTCGAAAAGGAAATAGCAATTAGTCACAGGACACGTGACGGCATTCTTTCAAATTCCACCGTCAGTTTGATTGGTTAATTAACTCTCGAAGGAGTGTAATCGATGCCTGATCTTCGCGAGGACACGGCGTGAGCACATGTGACAGGTGTTCTTCGTGAATAATTTTTATCGTCTCTTTGAGGTGATCGATTGAAGATCTTCGGAATATATTCCAAGTATAGAATGTTTCCTACTGATCATTCTGAAATTAATATCGAACGTCGCTTCTCGATGAAAGCGTGTCTTCGAGGTCCTTTTCATCGTTAATTGTCGACCATTAAACGACTATGTCGAGCTGTCTCCTAAATGAAAAGAACACGGTTACTTCGTGTAGTTTCGAATACCGTTTCTTTTACCCGACTGATAACGATCTATCGCATCGATCTCGCATTCGATGACACACGGTAATGGATCAAAGTGTAAAATGTATAAATACCGACGCTTCTTACGCTGTCGCTTCTCATGACAAGTGGAATTACTTTTAAGATGGATCGTGTCAATAACTTTCCAACGATACAATCGATGCTAAAAGTTTCTCTTAAACCATGTTTGCTTAGGATGCATTTATACAAGATATGTATTCACCTTTTTCATGTTCTTCAAATTGATACTCATTTTGCAATGTTTTGAAATCATGTCAGATTCTCTGTCTTTCAAATGACTTGCAAGGATGCATTTATAACAAAACATTTATGCATTCATCTTTTTCAAGTTCTGCGCTTCAAATTGATGCTGATTTTGCAATGTTTTGAAAAGATGTCAGATTTTCTGTCTTTCAAATGACTTACAACAATGCATTTATAACAAAACATTTATGTATTCGTCTTTTTTAAATTCTACGCTTTAAATTGATGCTGATTTTGCAACGTTTTTGTGTCAGATTTTCTTTCAAATGAATTGCAATGCTCTATTGTTTGCTACCAGAGATAACGATCCATTTTGTATGAACAATGTTGACTTTTCTCTTCTCAATTTGCACTAGCGCATGGCAAACATCCATTCATCCCAGTTTAATCACACGGACGTAATTGGTTGAATTTCAGAGATGTTCCTGTTACGAAACGATTCACCTGTTGATTCTGGGGGATAACTTCCTGTCCGTCAACAGAAATACGTCTGTTTAGATGGAATATTTAGTGGGGTCGTGAATCTCGCTTCGTCATTCCATTAGCTCCAGTTACATAACCTAAAAGAAATTCATTTAGTTCATATAATTGTTAAATTCCTAAACGTTTTAAATTCTGATGTCCATAATTCATACAACCGTCGTTTATACACGCAGTCATTAGTGATTTTTTAGCTACTCCCAAGTTCACCGGTTACCTTCCTAGAACCCTCTAACCCTCCGAATTAATTCTATCCTTCTATCAGTACTGATCAAAAATTAAAGCAACCAGGAAGGCCAAATGACGCGAGTTCGGGCAGAACTGAAAGGCGATCACCATTGCAAAAACTAACCGTCGGGCAATTTCGCTTTCGTTGCTGGCGAAAATTCGAGACATTGGCGTAAGTAGGTAGGGAGTCTTCTCACAAAATATTTTAACAGCAACCTAAAACATTGTAACATGTAGTTTGATCAATTTAAAAATATTAATAATTACGAATTCAGACCTACATTTCTAAAAGTCTCTTCTTCTCAAATCTTCAAACTTTTCAATTTTAATTTCTGGAAGACATGTGATCATAGAACCTGTAACTTTTGTAGTAAAGTTGGTTGAGCCTGGAAAAAAGGTAGTTACGCCAATGATCGCATTAGAATTCAAGCAGGAATTATCGGTGGGCTAATTATAATTAGGGAGAGATACGTGGCGATGGTGGACGTTGTTTGTCCATGGCTGGCGTTGATCACCATCAAAAGGCGGTCGGTCGTGCGGTTCCAGGCGCTCCCCAGCGTTTTTCGTCGGCAATTACCTGTGGCCACACGGAATCGAAGCTTTTATTTTGGCGTGCGAACGAAAACCGACCAAATTAGCCGAGTGAAACGAAACTACACCTGACTAACAATGAGTTGGTATAAGCATATCGTTAGGACCAACAGTTTCTAGTCTGATATCGATCTCCACAAGTTATTTGGTAATTTTTAAATTTAGAAAGTGGGGAGCTATTACAATACTTCTAATTCATAACCAGATAATATTAACAATACCGGTTATTTCATGAGAGATGAGTAATTAAAATTATACATGCAAATTCTAAGCTTAATGTTTGCATGAATTAAGCGTAAGGCTGGTGCAAGGAAGAGAAGAGAAGGATTGGAAAGATCACTATCCGACAAATTTACGTCTAAAAAGAGAGAAGGGAGGGAAAGAAGTAGATCGTTTCCCCAATTATAATTAATATCTTTGAATAATTATAGGACCACGGTATCGCGTGAGATTATTGATACGACAGATGTGAGATTTTAACGTGGCCAATTAGTGTCGAAGAGGCAGAAAGCGTATCGCTCCGATATCGAATAAGGTAACCAACATCCACTAAATTTCCTTATCAAACGTTATTACGAAATTCGTTCATTTCGTAGCAATAAATCATCCGTTTTAAGTCTCCTTTAATTAAGCGCTTCTGTGGAGCATGTATCCTTGCCGATAGACAGCGATCGGTACTTGATAAATATTAACATCCATACAGTTTGGTTACAACGTAGCGAAAATATGTCTTGAAGGAAATTTTCATTTTGGAACATAAGATACAGTTATCTCGATGGCGTTATAAAAGAAAGTTGCATATTTCATGGCATGTCAAGCTGAAAAGTCCATTAGCATGTTCAAGTACAGGCAGCTGGAAATTAAATATTTGCTAATTATCCACACTAAGTTGTAAATTGATTGACTGATTATTCGCATTAAGATGATTTACCTCTTCAAGCCTTTAGCTGTAAATTGATGCCATAAGCGCCATACTTTTATGTCATCAAATCATGTCAGACATTATACTTGCAAAGTATCTATTTTTAGTCTAGTTACGTGAATGTCAGGTACCATTTTCGCATATGTATCATGGTTCTAGCATGTTCGAGGCCAATGTTCGAATACAGTTAACTGGCACGAAACAGGTTTAACATGGTCAGCTTTGACACAAAGCTCGCGGTCTCGTTGTTTCGCCGAGGGTACAATTAACGGCGTCGTTAGGTTCATCTTGCGATCGTGGAATAAATATGTCGCGAGGTGAGAGGGAAATAAAGAAGCTCTTTGAGCGTGGGTCAATTAACGGCATCATTCTAGCGACGTGACTCGTAGGTAATCACAAGCGAAAAAAAAGAAAGAGATTTCACCGGAAGAAATGGAACGTCTCGTTTCCTTCTCCTCTCATTACGAATTAATTAACGCTCTTTGTATTTTCGAAGGTGTAGGGGGGTAAAAACAGAAAGAAGGTGAAACGAAGGGAAAGGTTGGCCCGGATAGTAAAAGGATGACCTTGAAAAGAAGGTTCCTCGAGTGAGGAGCGCCGTAGGCCCTTCCTCGGCGAACATCGAGCAGAGTAGGAGAAACTGGGTAGCGAGACGGTGTAGATACGCGTAAGGAAGCGTAACGCCTACGTAGAGCCGAGCCTCTGACTCGCGACTTCCGGTCAAGCGGCAGGAAGCACGCTCGGTGCGTCGCCGCCACCGACGTCGACTCGCGTCCTTACGCCTAGCCATCAGCTACGAAATATTTATTTATTTCACTTCTACCTAAATGCATTTGTCATACCGACTGTTTTATCATCGACCGAGAACAATGTACTTTCCATCCTGTCGATAAAATCTTCATTTCTTCCTACAGTTTAGAAATTTCATTCTGTTAAGCTTCTAAAATTCATGAGTACAAAATTCCAAACAATCTAGTTTCATTCTCTTCCAACCTTCATAAAAAATCATTCATTAGTATAACATAGTGGAGAATAGAAGATAATGATAGCAGTAAATATATTATTATGAGCAAATAAAGCGGATGAACCAAATTATACTTTTAACTTCTCTGTAACCATGATTGAATCTTCAACTACCTTGATTGCAGCTAATAACGAAGACGGGGTAAAATGAAAATCCATTTGGACCGATCGACATCCGGGATCCTTCTGATTTTCCGTCTTGATGTCGGCTCGGTAACTCGTTACTTTACTACGGGCATGAATATAGAACGAAGGGGAATGCCACGAAGGTGGCTTCAACCGTACATCCGGACGATATAAATGAGAAGTTGAACTTCCTTGGTAGCCGCTATTAAAGTTCATTTAGCTTCGACGTTGTCTCAACCCTTGATTGGAAATCGTTACTCAAACCTACACGAATTCATTTCCATTAAAAACTGAGATTATTATGCAAGAGAAAATTTTCAAAGAATTATTACCTCTTCTTACTTAACAGCGAACTTTAAGAAACCGATAGTTCAGGTTGGAGAAAGTTTCTTTTCAGGGAGACTCGAAAGTTTTCAATCCAGGATCGTTTGGATTAAAAGGAAGGAGATAATGGAAATGGGTCGCTTGGTTCCTCTGTCTGTTAATATCCGTGAAACTTGGCTGAAAACGAGGAAAGTACGGTTAATACGATAAGAAAGAATAATTTCTCGTTCGTACGACTTCGTGGTTCGGAAAGGAATTATCTTTCGGTCCGTGCACTCGGCAGGAAACCTAATTTCAGTCTTCCTGTCATGGGAATGTGCGCACCCTGTATCGCGTTTTATAAGAACACGAATTGAATGACAGTCTAACGAGTTTCTTCGATTCGAATTCTCATTGTTTGTACAACAGGAATTCAGACTCACATTTTCAGAATACCACGTTCAAAAACTTCGTATTTTAGCACAATTCACTAATTAGAACTACATTTCGATGATCCTCCTCTTATACTATTCACTAAATCTCTAAAAAGCATATAAAAATATTAATAAAGTTGACTGAACATTCTTAAATATTATCAGTATTTAAATCAATTATAAATCGTATACTTACAAGAGAAAAGACAATCGTAAAAAAGTCATGAAAGACAAACAGGTAAAATGGCGGGAAGATTGTGCGAATGGTGCATCACGGTACACAGGGATGGAAAAATGCGCGCGAAGTGACACGTCAAAATATCGCTGCAATTGAACATGGCGAGGAAATAAAGCGAACAGGTTTATTATTGTCCGCTAAAGGAGCGAAAGATGCGAATTCGTAAGATCGATTCCTCGAATCAAGGAGATAAGCATCTACTTAATGATCTGGTTTAATGGCTTTCCCTTGGCTCGCCTGCATGTGCACAGTTCACCTCACCAAGTATTCCCGGTGCTTTCGACTGCCCGTTTTCGGGCAACGACTCGTACAATTTTATCCTTGCATCCTCCTTCTCCTTATTCTTCCTTTTCTTTCTACTTCCTGGGCGTGTGAGCACCGGTCTTTCGAGAGGCGTCCAGTTAACCTTATACTTCGTTACGGAAATTAACGATTCACGGTCGAATCCGTCACACAAACTCTCCAAAGATAATTTGTTAATTGTTACTTTATCGGAAGATGGCCCTCTGATTCACGCCTGTTATTAACGTGAAATCTATTGCTACCGGATCATTTTCATTATCGACTGTAGATGATTTCGAAAAGTATCGATGTAACATCGATAATGTCGATTAGAAGCGTTCAATTGCCTCGAGTTTCGATCGAAACAGTTGATTTCGATAAAGCTAAGTTTCTTGTTCAATTGTTTGGTTCTAATACAAACTACACTATTAATTTTTTATTACTTAGACTTGGTACTAACGAAAAAAAGGTACATTACAAAAAGATAGGTTAAGGTTTCCGCACAGTTAAAAATTTTACAGTTGGCTACACTAGTGAATTAAACGTAGATTAAAATTAATCGAGGTTAGTCGACATTCGTACTTCGAATGTTCTCGAAATATTCGAACGCTTGTCACATTCTTTAAATATAGTTTATCCTTAGCAAAATTTTTATTGTTATTTTCAAACAATAGATCGATTGTTCCGAATCTATCGATCGAGCGGAAAGGATGTCGATGGAGACCGGCAGAATGGTCGGTGCTGAACCGCAGGCAGACCGCGGCCGGAAAAGCGTGAAAATAGGAAGAGGAAACGAGCGAAGAAAGAAAGGAAAGGAAGGCGGAGAAGTGGAAGTGGCGCGTGGCACTGCCGAATAAGTATCGGATGCCGCCAGATGTTGCGGTGAAGCCAGCTGCTGCACCTCCGCCACTCTTGCCCTCCTTTGCTTTTCCTCGCGGTTTTTCGAGAGAGCCAAGCAGGTACATACACTCACCGATCAATGCGATGTCGGTACTTTATGTTCACTGGTGGTATTATCACGAGTCACTTTTTTCCACTTGCCACTTGTCAAATTTTTTTCCCTCCTTTTTTAATTTCATCGCTTTCTTTAAACGCTTGCTCATTAGCAAACTGAAGTAAGCGACCATTGTATTCGGATTGAGTGTAAAAAACATGACAAATCGATTGTAAAAAGAGAAGTTCCATACTTAATTTTCGAATCAGAACTCGTACGTTGTCAACATTCGCAAATATGACAAACATTGAAAAGCCTGAGATGCTGACGACATATATTAATTCCAGATCTGTAATTCTGTTTCATCATTTCTCCCTAAACGAGGAAAGTTTAGATGACAGGTTAGTTTCGAATTATATTCGGAACATTTGGAGGTTAGACCGGATTGAATAATCGTGACAAGCGTAATTATATAGGTTGCGTGACGACGCTGCTAAACTCTGTTA